ATTTTAGTGCTTTAGAATTAGCTTTTGCTAAAACTTTCAGTGCTTTAGTGCTTTAGAATTAGCTTTTGCTAAAACTTTCAGTGCATCAGTGCTTCAGAATTAGACCTAAATATTTGAGTTAGTATTTAGGAATAGTAGAATTTTTAGATTAGTGCTGCCCACCACTGGCCTTTTCTTTAGTCTTTTTTTTTCCTGTAATTTTACAACTGTTTTTGTAGCTTTGAACCAAATTTTTGTTTATTTTTGCTAATCAATYCTCCAGCTTGACTCCTCCAACAAGACTTGACTTGTTTCTTTGTCTTTGAATTCCTTTGAGCTTATAAATGTCTCGTCTTCGTTCTTGGGGCCTGCAGGTCGCTGCAGCTCGTAGAACTAAAATGTCTCCTGTGTTGGACTTTTCCCAGAATGCCAGTGTGACCCCCAGGGCTCCCTCAGCACCGTGTGTGATCCCAGTGGGGGTCAGTGTCAGTGTCGACCCAATGTGGTTGGCAGGAACTGTGACCAGTGTGCTCCTGCTACCTTCCAGTTCGGACCAAGTGGCTGCAGAGGTCAGAAACTCTTCAATCTGTGACCAAAACTTAAACCTGTTCAGACTGGAGTTAGGAACCTCCTCCCTCCAGCAGTGTTCTGCTCCTTACTGTGTTTTTGCGTCTGTTGGTATTTTTCCAGCATGTTCCTGCAACCCTGAGGGGTCCCAGAGTCCATTCTGTGATCAACTGACCGGTCAGTGTGTTTGTGTCGCCGGAGCACACGGTCGACAGTGTGATCGCTGTCTGCCGGGTCACTGGGGCTTCCCGTCCTGTCGACCCTGCTCATGCAATGGCCACGCCGACTCCTGTGAGGCTCACACAGGGCGCTGCATCGYCTGCAGGGACCACACAACTGGACACAACTGTGACAGGTGACCCAGAGAAACCTGGTCGCTCTCGTTCTGTTCCCAGGAGAGAACTAATCMGGTTCGTCTGTGTCCAGGTGTCTGAACGGCTACTACGGTGACCCAGTGTTGGGATCAGGTGACCACTGTCGTCCCTGTATGTGTCCCGATGGGCCTGTAAGTCTGCGGCAGTTTGCAGGAAGTTGTTACCGCAGCGATGACTCTGAGCAGGTCGTCTGTGTCTGCAATGCAGGATACAAAGGTAAAAACTTTATTATGCTGAATTTCAGACAGAAGAACCAACAGCTCTGAATAAAACCACGTTAGACACGTCCTTTATTTATCAGGACATAATAWAACTGTTCTGGTCCTCACAAGGTGCTAAAACTATTATTCATGATGCCTAATGTGCATTTCAAGTTTTGGAAATCTGAGACTTCTTCCTYTGGTTTTTCTCATTTGACATTGCTTCCATCAACTCACTCTTAAAGCATTTTTTTTTGCATTGTAAGGCTCAGCTCAGCCCAAGAAAAGTACTGAACATTGTACCAAATCATCCAGCAGGATAATGCTTAAGATGAGAGGGTTGGACAACAGAGAATGGTAAGCTAATGGTAGCTAATGTTAGCTTGTTGTTGTATTTTTATATCTTGCTACTTTTATGTAGTTAAACTTGTGTGAAAAAAAGAAACTTTTCAGGTAAAGTTACTTTCATCTGTGGGATGTAAACCCTCTGGTCATAGCTGATGTCAAACCAGGTAGAGCAGCCCAGGTCTCGATGTTCCAAAAATCAAGATGGAACTGGTCATAAGGGCCAATGCAAAGACGTTGATCCCAAATTTGAAGCCAGCCTTGCAGTGCAGAAAGGCCTTTGTCTGTCTTCTCTGTCCAAAATCTGAACATTTTATTCCTCACAGAAGTGGTCTTTATAGTTTGGGTGTAGGTGAAGAGTTAAGTCTGCCTGTGCTGTGTTGAAGCTATGAGCCACAAAAAAAAAAAAAAACAAAAGGCATGATACCTGGTTATTTT